CTGGTTGTTGGATCCTACCAGTTTCCCACAGAAGCAATAAAGAACTGTATTGCCATTAAATAAATTCTTGCATTGGGGTATCATGTTCAGAAAAAAACAGAGCCACAATGTGTCAAACTATAACTGACAGTGTTCCATGTACATTCATTCCGTATGAAAATAATGCTTGGTGGGTTTCTTAACCGTTTATCAGAGAGTGCTCAAAGCAGCATTTTAACACTTGTATTGCCAAACACTTTCATGGCCAGAATCATTGGGTTGTTGTGAGTTTTCCAGGCTGTATGGCTATATTCCAAAAGCATTCTCTCCTGACATTTCACCTGCATCTATGGCAGGCATCCTCAGAGCTCCTCACAACCTCTGAGGATGCCTGCCATAGATGCAGTCGAAACATCAGGACGATGCTTCTGAAACATGGCCAGGAAAACACAACAATCCATTTTAACTCTTGCTGACAAGGTCAGTCAGGTGAAGAAAGAGCAATTGGGTTAAGGAAAATCAGTTAGCTTCCTGACTTCATGGGTAAAGTAGTATTTTTGTATGCTACAGTTGTATCAGTGTTTGTCATGGAAATATGTACAATGTGTAGGAAGTTTGTATCTTAAGCATTTGATGATATGTACTTGGGGCTGCTATATGCATTAGAAACCACAATGATATGTGTCCACCGTGTATTTGAAGGTGTCAATTTCCCTTTTACATTATCTGAATTTATCCATGTAATGACACTCCCATTATTTCTTTTGTTCACCTTCTTAAGTTAGCCCAGATGGAGAATTCCCAGAGATCTTAGTTCCAGGCAATAGCCAAGGCCAGACCTTAATTACAGCAAAGGGGTAAACAATGTGTCCTAAAACCACAGACTAGGAAGACAACACTGTATGTACCACTAGCCCACATTATCTTCCCTTTATTAAAATGAAGATTTCCTTTCCCTTGTAGTATTTCTAATTTCAACAGGGTTCCCATATAGCTAAACAACACAGGTTCCACAAACAAGTACAAAAGTGCTTGGGGCTGAGGAAACTTGCTAAGCTTGTAATGAAATTCAGCTTCTCCTTCCCCTGTGAGGGCATACTGCTCTTAGCGACTGCAATGACTTCAAGCACAGAACAAACTCATAATGCAAAAGGCAATTAGAGGTTGTATTTGATGATAATGATTCCAGTGCTATGAATGTATACACACAACTCCAAAAACAATTACAATAATGGAGCATAGCAACAACAAAAACAACCACAACATCTGCCATTTAGCCTGCTCTGCCTCTTTGGAAGATTTGTAACTGAAGACCATAGCTGATGTATGGGAAAGACTCAGGACTGCTATACTGAAGATCCCTCACAATGTACCGTTTTACTGAATGTCCCATAAATCTTTAAAAGCTGACATGTTATGTCTGGGATGAAGCCTTTAAGATATGGGCCGACTTAATGGCCCATCATACACTCATTAAAATGTCACACATTTTTGTATCAATAACATATTCAGTATAGATATGAATAATTGCTGAATGCATCCTATTTATAATTTACTTAACTGCACAAATAGCAGTTAATTGTTGAATGTATTTTATTTATAATTTACTTACTGTCACTGTACAACTGACCTATAGCAAAATAAAATCCGCAAACGGTGATAACTTTATTAGCCAACCAACATGCATAAAACACTTCATGCAAACTTTTAAAACTCTAGTGGCTTCTTCTTCAGGCAAAATATGTTGAATAGAGGAAGAGAAAGAAAAGTCGTGCGGTTGGAATCAGATGCCTACATTCTATATCAGGTGTTGTTTCTGTTGTTGTTTAGGTAACCTGGAGGGATCTCAATGCAGGCAAAGGACAATCCTTCTTGGCCATATGGGAACTGAGACAAAGGATAGTAAATTTTAAACATCAGTACTAGTAGCAACAATAATTTATCTTGGAATCCAGAATATCTCTGTTTTTTTACCCACATGTCCCTTTTGTAAGAAAAGTAGTCTCTTGTGCTGCTACATCAGGAAAAACCTTTTGTTGCTCTCTAGGTAAAACTCAGCCAATTAGAGTCCACAAGAAAAGGTTTTACCTCTTCAGGAGGCAGGACCTCAAAAAGTCAAACCTTTGTTTATGTCCATTTACAAATCTGCCTCATAGTAGCATTGTCTAGCCCAGGCATGGGCAAACTTCGGCGCTCTGGGAGTTTTTGCCTTCGGCTCCCAGAAATTCCAGCCAGCTTACCAACTGTCAGGCATGTAGCGGGGGGGGGGGGGGGGGGGGGGGAAGTTCTCATGGTGGTTCGCGAAAAGGCCTTACTGGTGCATTATTTAAACTGTTATGTTTATTCATATCATGATCTGATCACCATACTCAATATATCCCATATGCATGGGGGTATTGGGTAATGATACAAAAGGTTTGCTAGGCTAGACCCTCTTTCACTCAGCTCAGCCCCCCCCCGAAACTCAGCCCCCCCCCCCCCCTGAAAAAAATTCAGCGCCCTCCCCCCCCCCCCCCCCCCCCGAAATGAAATCCTGGCTATGGGCCTGCCAACTGTTAAGAATTGTGGGAGCTGTAGTCCAAAACACTTGGAGGGCCAAAGTTTGCCCATGCCTGGATTAGCCCCATTTTACTAGTCTGTTTATAAGGCAATCATGGAGACCTTGTTGAAGGCCTTATTGAAATCAAGATATGCTATTTTAATAACTTTCTCTTCATCCACAAAGTTTGTAACTCTGTTTTAAAGGGAGATAAGATTAGTCTCGCATGACTTGTTAATCATCTGCTCTATAATCTTTTCTTGTATCGTGGTCAGACTGACTAGGCAGAGACAACATTTAATCTCCTCTAATCTGTTGGGGGTATTTCCTATTCTTCGGAATTCTCAGAATTATTATCAGATGTTCTGATATTACTTCTTTTAATACCCTTGGATGTATTTCATCTGGTCATGGAGATTTTGATTCATTTATAATAGCTAGGTATTTCTGTGTTACCTCTTTACCTCTTCAGTATTTTCTCTAGTCCATCATCTGCTCCATTTTCATAGTTAGCACTATTTTCCTTTTGGGAGAAGACTGAGTCAAGGAAGGAGTTGAATTTCTGTCTCTTGTCTCCCTGAAATGGCTACTAACAGTAATGAACAGAGATTAAAACTGGGCCCTTGTGCATGTCACACAGCAATAAATCTATTATATTCAGTGAGATAGTTCCCAGGTATGTGGGTGTAGCATTCTTACTCAGACTCATATTCAAGATATCTCTATTTGATTTCTGATAAGTCTGTGGCTATAATAAACCTTTTGCTTCCTATGATGCATTTTTTGCATGTCAGGATCACAAACAAAATTCTAAACTAGAGATGGGGACATTAACATGACATGAGAAATCATTTGGATTTTGTGAACTGTTACAGAATAGTCAACTTATTTTACATATATTTGAAACAAAAATTGATAGCATAATTGTCACCTTAGTATTTAAGGAATTACAGGATCCCACCTTGCCCCCCCCCCCCACCTGCAGCTACGGTTATGCATAGACATTTTATCAAATTTGTCACATGTTGCTGACAATTCAGTTGATTGAAATCTTGGTTTATGCAAAAGGTTCCCCCCTATAAAACCTGTTTACAATGCCTATTTTTATAGACCATCCTCTTTGGAGAAAATAACACAATTATCTATGTAGGACAATCATAAAACAGCTAGATGGGGCATCTAGCTGCCTCCAAATTGCAATAGTTATATTTGTGTTTGATGTTTATTACTCACTTTCAGATTTTGTACATATAATTCTGTTGATGCATTCAGTATCAGTGGAAGTTTTTGAAATCATAACTTTTTTTCATTTCAGATTTCTATATGTAGTTATTCTGTTGCCTTCCTAATTACACGTTCAACAATTAATTGTTTTTTTCTGCTAGGGTTTTAATCTTTTTAGAATTCACTAATTATTACACAATTCACTAATTATTTCATACTTGGCATGGGAAGAACTTGAGGTTTTAAAAAACTAAATGTGCAAGAAAGAAAAACTGAGATTTTTGCATCTCATGCTTTGCTCTTTGATATTCAGTAGCTATTTAGTGGGATATTTTCAGGTTATTTATTAATAAGACTTTCCCCTCAAATATGGGGATCATGCTGTACATCCCAAATTATATATTGCAAGACTTCCCATGGTTACCTGAAACTATGAATAATGTTGTGACTATACTTGGGCTGGCAGCATACCATAGAATCACACAGAAGGAAATAGAGAGGTTCACAAACAATTTGCGGTGAGGGCTAATGTTTTTAAGAGAGTGGATAATAAGGACCTCTTCACACAGCTCCTGGATCCATGCCATTTCACTGACAGTTGCTGGCAAAATGGCAGCCACATGGGGTGCCTCGTGAAGCCTTGCATGCCTTCCCTCCTTCCACCATCACATGGTAGGAATGGAACAAGGTGCATTGGTACTCTGTTCCCATCATATGGGTGAAAGGGCAACAACACATGTTGCCCTTTCCTCCATCAGATGGAGCAGAGGGCAACAAAATGCAGGTACCTCCATTGGAGCTACCCAAAACACACTTTCCTCTCCATGTAGGCAGAGGCTTCCCCTCCACTTTGAGAGGAATGGGGGCAGGGCCATCATCTAATGGCACTCAGCAAGCCCCGTCCAAAAGAGGCAAAAGGGTCTATTTAAACCCCAATGTAAAGAGGTCAGTCGTGAAACTTTGGATATTGAATCTGTGGATAGTGGGACCACACTGGACTGAATGTCTTTAAGTTGGTTCCAAATATGAGGTAGTTTTGACTTGTCAATAGCTTCTCAGATAGGCTTTGTATCTAATACAGATATCACTTGAACAAGCAGCTGTTTTCTTGATATCCACCAATTCCATTTTTTAAAATTTACTAAACTCTTCAGAGGGGGTGGGAGATTTATTTCCCTGAAAGAACAAAGTGTTTTCCTTGAATCAAAATTCATATATATCATTTTTCTCCATGAAATATTTTTTGCTCTGTTTACAGGTTCCTTGTATGATGGTGTAGCTGATGGTTACAGCAGTTATGGAACAGCCCGTGGAAGCTACTATGCCAAAGCCCACACAGGAAATAATTGGGGCCACGCGGTAAGGTTTACTCTATGATCCAAGGCATGGTGTTGGGAATGGGAAGAAACAGTGGGATGGCTCTACTTTTATAAAATAAAATAAAGCAAATATAGCCATCCCTCCACATTTGTGAGTTAAACATTCATTGCTTCAATTATTTGCAAAAGTGGAGGGACTACTGTATTCCAGTTTTCTCTGTGGGAATCCTACTATAAATTTGATATGTCAGTCAATAGTTTAGCCTGTATAGTTGCCCAATTCCTTCTGGCCATAAAGGTGTGGCGGTTTTCTGGCAATAGGGAGACGGAGATCTCTCAGGGACAGTGGGATCCAGTGTTATTGACTGGTATGATTTGCAGGCTGCCTGGACAAGTTAATGAGTTAGGTTTCTGATGTACAGTGCTGCAGTATTGCACTTTAAAGGCACATCTAGCAACCACAAAAAGGGAAATGAAAGATTCCTAATTCTAAAGAATTCTGATTCTCTAATTTTTCAAAATTGTGTGTGTGTGCACATGCATATGGCATATGATATCCATGCATAGGTGGTGTCTTGGGTACAGTCCTTCTCTGTAGGTATCTTAACAGTATCCATATTAATTTAGAATGATTCGGGAATCATTGCTTGTGTGAAAACTAAATAAATTTGGTCTTTGACCCATCTCAATTCTTCTGCTTTTTAGATAGATAGATAGATAGATAGATAGATAGATAGATAGATAGATAGATATATTAGGGGGTGTTGCAATCTGTTCCGTAAGTCTTTCTTAGATCTTCCTTTCTCTGAAGGTGTACAGACACAAATATCAGAAATGCCAATATTGTCTAAGTGGCACAGAAAAGAAAACTTACATCATAATGAAAGTTGTGTCTGATGAGATGTTTTAATTTTTTTCATTAGACATTTTTCATTAATTAGTCATAAAACTGTCTTCTGCTGGAGCATGTTAAATCCTTTGTGAGGGGATTTACAATTTGGGTAGAATGATACTTGGTGCAAATTACATGCCTACCAATGTACTGTATCAACTTGAAGTAGAGGCGAGACAGATTCAGACAAAAACAAGAGAGCAAACATGCTGTGCAAGTAAGAAGGAGGTGGGAACAAAAGCAATAAGAAAATAAGTTGGGTGTTGGCTAAATCCAGTTTGGCATGGTTTTCTCATGACCTGTCCTATGACAGTATAATACAAGTGTTTGCTCTTGCTCTGCAGAAAATGATCTAGGAACATTTTTAATACCTTTCCCCTAAATACATTATGCTTGCATGTGTAAGTAAGCAAAATCCATGCATGTATATACTAAGTGACTGTGGTATTTTGGAAAGGAATAAGATTATCATGGCAAAATTAAATTAAATAGAAATATAGCAATCTATGGATGGAACCCTGTTACTGATATATGGGTTCTATTTGAAAGAGAAAAGTCTATTATGTAGCCCTTTCTGCAATGTCCAAAACTACCCCCATCACAATTGCAGCTGGGGTCACTGCTTTTCTTCCATCCAGGATTTCATATGGTGAATACATCATTTTTGGTTGGATGTTTTGAAAATGTAATAATGAAATATTACTGGAGAGCCAATCAGAATGAGGCTAGTACTTCTGTCCTTCACTGTAGAGACTTATGGAAGATAAAAATAGTGGTCTTTAGTTGCAACCATGCTAAAGAGTATTGCCACCAGCTTATATCTTATATGCTTTCATTTTATAAAATAATTTTAAAATGTACTGGTTTTTTCACTCTCAGGTAGGGCCAAAATACCTTGGAGAGACTGTCATTTTTTTCAACAGGAAGTCCCAGCTTGTCCCATCATTTTACCCAACTGACTTTGAGAAAGACTGAATATTCTGTTCATTCCTAGTAATTGCTATTTGAACATTCATGATTGAAGTGGCTGCCTTGGAGTATCCTGGAGATTATCTGACTTTTGGAATGAGCTTTATCCTAGGCCTTGCTCCTAGCCTCTGTCTGGGATTAAGGCTATAATAAAGGCATGGGCAAACTTCAGACCCCTGGGTGTTTTGGACTTCAACTCCCAGAAATTCCAGCCAGCTCACTGGCTGTTAGGAATTGTGGGAGCTGAAGTCCAAAACACCAGGGGTCGGAGGGGGGTTGACCATGTCCCCCAATTTATTCAAGTATGGCTGGATGTAAGTGATGCCCAAAATACTATCTTTTGGTTAAGATTCATTAAAAGATAGAAAGAAAATTTAAAATGGAAACCACAGATATTTTTGACTTCATCATTCACAATTAAATGTTTCTACACACTTATGAAACTGCCACTGATGGTGCCCTTCACACGATACAAGCATCAAATGTGGGGCAGAGGTATCTTGCTGTTTTAAAGTGTGAGTTTTTATCACAATTCCTGAGTGAATTGGCAAGTAACTTATTCCTCAATTGCCCYCCTAGAGACTTGTAAAAATGGCCAATTTAACATATGATGGTAACCCCCCCCCCCCCCACACACACACCCAAACACTTGACCTGTTCTGTAGGATAAAGTCCATATAGTCATCTCTTTAATTCAGTTGACTCCAAGAAACAAATAGTCATAAAGATAGAGGCAGAGGAATTTAGAAGATGTAACAAGGAAGAAGAGTTAGCTATATGTTGGGAATGCCTGGTACATGCTTAGAAAACTCATTTTTTAACTAATCTTTTGTCATGTAACTTAAGACAAAGCTCAAGCCATTTATTATTACCATTATAATATCCTTTTATGTGACTTGTAAATTACTTATTACTTTTTAATTAAAAAAAACTTTATCTAAGAAGAATGTAAAGGGTCTCTGATTTGGAAAAGGAGGAGGACTATAAAGAAACTGCTCCTCCCCAAAGTTGCAAGACAAATGTAATCACTATGTTTACAAATAATTACTTCGAAGAGGTGGGTTTTTTATGGGGGGGGGGTCTAAATGTCTATAAAAATATAACAGCAAGGGATAAGAAAAACTTTCAGTCATGATGTTGCTGCATTTTATACCTTGCATTTGTGTCCCATCCATTGTATGTATCAAGCTGCAAGAATGTATCCCTTTTTTCTCATGGTTGTGCTTGTGCTCTTTTAAGTCATTTCCAACTTATGGTGATTCCAAAACAAATCTGTCATGAGATTTTCTTGGCATGATTTGTTCAGAAGCAATTTTCCTTTGCTTCCCTCTAGAGAGTGTCTAACTTGCTCATTTTACCCAGTGGCTACATTGCCAAATAGGGATTTCCATCCTGGTTTCCAGAGTCATAATCCAAAGCTCAAACCAATACATCTTGCTGGCTCTCTCACATGTTTGAAAATTCATAAGCATTTCCTGATATTTTCCAATTGGAAGAAGGCAGCATCTGCTTAAGTAGTTATTGACATTGAGTGACCACTAATTATCTAACATTGACTTGCTTATCTATCTATGACACCTGTTTCTTGAGTAGGAAACTTCAGAACAATATAAACTTTGGATCAGGGCATTTCAAAGACTGCACTTTCCCCTCCCATGGGAAGCTTCGTGGGTTTTAGGTTCTTCAGAGGAGTCCTGGCTCCTTTTCTGCAGTTTTCTGGGAAAGGTGGGGGGGGGGGGGGCTCAGGGCAAATTGTTTGAAAGCATCAATGTCTCTATGTGGATTCATGATAGATATGTGTGAGAAACTTGTGTGACTTTCATTTTAACATTAAAAAAGATTTCTACAAATTTGTGAAACAAATGTGCACATCTGGAAATGCATGCAGAAAAATCTGTACAGTTGAAAAATTGGCAGATTTTTTTAAAATGCAGACAAAATTCCTTTTAAAAACTAAAACTAAAAAAGCTAATGATCGTACAAGTCAGAACAGACTCAGTGATGAAAAAACAAAACTTTATCAAAATACAAATGTGCAGGTTTACATGGGCTTGGTTCACAAGGGTTCATCATCATTCTGTCTGGGTGCAAAGGGCAACAAGTTAGTACAAGAAAGAGAGAGAGAAAAAAATCCTGAATATAGGGTTTGACAGTAAAGCAAATGGAGAGTTCAAGGAATGGATCAGGAAATTTGTTAAATACGCCCAGGGGAATAGAAGGTCGAGGACCTGACATCTGGAAAACCTACAGAAGTTCAAGGCAAAACTAAAAGTAGTAACTACTGTAGATGTGGAAATCTTGTCACTCTCTATGATCTTGGACTGTAGCTCATACCCTTCTTCATCATTGGCTAGTCCTGTTGAGAGTTCCAGCCTAACAATATCTGAAGGTCTGTGTGATGCCCAGCTTGAATATGAGATAGTTGTACATAGACCTGAAAGTTGTCCTGACTTCAGTCACTTTCCAGGAAGATTTATCTGCAACAAAACTGTTTGAAAACTCTAGTACACGATAAGAAAGAGATAACTGAATGTTGCCAATGATTAAGGCTTGGTTAGTTGTACATGAATCTTACGACAAAATGCCTGCCTGGTGGGAGGGGGGTAGACAGTAAGAAGAATTATTGTCCGAATCCATTTTGAAGTCATCTGTGCACCATCAGGCTTCAGCCCCCCCCCCCCCCCAAATTCTCATGGTGGTCTGTGAAAAGGCCTTACTGGTACATTATTTAAACTGTTATGTTTATTCATATCATGATCTGATCACCATGCTCAATATATCCATATGCATGGGGGTATTGGGGTAACGATACAAAAGGTTTGCTAGGGTAGACCCTCTTTCACTCAGACTCAGCCCCCCCCCCCCCCAAATCAACCCCCCCCCCCAAAAATCAAAATCCTGGCTATGGGTCTGTGTACCATGATAAAATCACCTTTGGATCAACTGAAGAAGATCAGAGTACAGATCCCAATAAAGAAATACTAGATCAATTAAATGTTTAGAAAGAAACAAACAAAAAGGTGTCAAAGAAATTGTGGAACAGAGAAGGGCACAAATATTTCAAGCAGTGAGAGTTTTCTCTTTCTTTTCTTTTCTTTTCTTTCTTTTCTTTTCTTTCTTTTTTTTTTTTGCAGGTTTTGTAGGCTTCTTTTTCCCCATTGTATGTAACAGTCTAGGAG